AGTTGTGACCAGAGTACGAGGGTGGTACAGTTGTGACCAGAGTACGAGGGTGGTACAGTTGTGACCAGAGTACGAGGGTGGTACAGTTGTGTCCAGAGTACGAGGGTGGTACAGTTGTGTCCAGAGTACGAGGGTGGTACAGTTGTGTCCAGAGTACGAGGGTGGTACAGTTGTGTCCAGAGTACGAGGGTGGTACAGTTGTGTCCAGAGTACGAGGGTGGTACAGTTGTGAGCAGAGTACGAGGGTGGTACAGTTGTGACCAGAGTACGAGGGTGGTATAGTTGTGACCAGAGTACGAGGGTGGTACAGTTGTGACCATAGTACGAGGGTGGTACACTTGTGACCAGAGTACGAGGGTGGTACAGTTGTGACCAGAGTACGAGGATGGTACAGTTGTGACCAGAGTACGAGGATGGTACAGTTGTGACCAGAGTACGAGGGTGGTACAGTTGTGACCAGAGTACGAGGATGGTACAGTTGTGACCAGAGTACGAGGATGGTACAGTTGTGACCAGAGTACGAGGATGGTACAGTTGTGACCAGAGTACGAGGATGGTACAGTTGTGACCAGAGTACGAGGATGGTACAGTTGTGACCAGAGTACGAGGGTGTTACAGTTGTGACCATAATACTTCAGTTGTTTAGGCTAGTTGTGGTCTTGGTAGGTGTCTGGGTCTCCTCTTTTGTTAGGTTGTGGCTCCAGGTTGTAGTTCCTGAGGTCTGAGTTGTTGTTATTATTTATGTTAAATATAATATGTTTTATTATTATTATTTTAGGTTTAAATATCAGATTGGTTAAGCTTTATGTATCTTTTTAATTAAAAGAAAGTTTTTCAATGATTATTTAAATATTTCACAATATACTTCTCATAATGTTGAAACACGTGTCATTCAACAGATGTGGCAGGCAAAACATACGTCAGACAAAACACCTGTCATGCAACACACACGTATCACACAACACTCAAATCATGTAACACACGTGTCATGGAACGAACATACGTGTCGGGCAACACATGTTACGCAACACACGTGTCATGTAAAACACACACACACACGTGACCCACATAACACGCCAACACTCGACTCACGTTTGACTCAACACATTCCTCCGTGATTTAAATCCTCCATGACTAGTAACACTGGTCTCACATGAGGGAGTCTTGCACCAGCCTCCGGGAGAACACCTTTTGTTACACACAGAGATCACACTAACGTGATGCATCAAATGAACAAATCCACAAGGGCCGTGACGAGGATTCGAACGAGGATTTTAACCCTGTCGTAGCTCAGTCGATTAAGGCAGTGTTTGGGATGCTCCCGAACGCAGGTTCGAATCCTGGTCACGGCTCTTGTGGATTTGTTCATTTAGCTCCTTTTGTGTTTGCATAACAACACACTCCGCCCTTTTCTGTCTCTCCTGCCATACACTCCTGGTTTCTATTCGATCCCTTAATCATTATTTCCTCGAAGTTCCCGTGGCATTTAATCAGTAGGGCCACTACACCTTATCCAATAATCTTATATTTTATTCTTATCTTACATTCCTTTAGAGAATATAGATTATTATGATACTAGTCAACTTTATTTCTAATATGGCTAAAATGTTTGGCCCATCTCCACTATTCTCTCTCTTGCAGTTCCTCTGCCTTGGTTGTCATTCCATCTACATTTGTGTTCCGGGTTTTAATGCTTATTGTCCAGACTGTACTATCGGTCTTTGTTGCTCTTGAGAAGACCCTCTCATTGGAGAAAGGAGGGAAGTGGGGTGGTTCTGGGGTATGTGGGAAGACTGTTTGTTAGGGGGTGGTCTTTGGGGGAATCCATTTGTAGGAGTTGATAGTTGTGTGTGTTGGTGTTGAACACGGACGAAGGCAGGGGAGAGACAGAAGGGAAGGAGTCGCCACCGTCATTCTGTAGGAGTGGCGGTGGCGACTCCCTATCTTGAAGAGTCAATATTATTAAGTGTTGGGGAGTTTGGTGGTTCTGGGGAGGTAGACAAGTTAGGCGGTGTAGTTGCGGTGAGAAGGTGGAGAGAGGAGGGAGAGAGGGACGTCACTTCTGTGTGGAGAATGGAGGGGGGTCTTCCTGTGTCTTTATTCTGTCTAGTTCCTGTGTGATTGTCCTGACAACCCTTTCTCTGTTATTTATGTTTATCAACATCTTGTTTCTTCTCGTTCGAATAGTGTGTGTATTGTTGTTGAGAGTAAGAGGGACATAGAGAGAGAGAGAGAATGAAATAAGACTATGAGAGCTGAGAGAAAGCGTAAAGTTGCAGACCGTGAAAGTTTTAATCTACTTTCGCTCCAAACACAGGAACTTACAGTGAGTAAAGTTCACAATGTCCATCAAAAGTATTGTTTCTAGAGTTCAGTTTACTAGCTCATTGATTTCCTGCTTATCTATCTGCCAACGAGGACGAAATCTTTCGTCTTCGTTCATTTCATTCATATTGTACCTACAAGGGTCACGTTTTCACCTCCGTCAGTATAATACGAC